GGAAAAATATCTTGCGTCACGACTTTTAGACGACAAAACGCTTGAAACCTTGATCTAAAATCAAAAGTCGTGACGCAAGATATTTTTCCTTATTGTGAGTAAATTTTCACAATAGTCAATGCGAAAAATACTTTTGAACTTTGTATCCAGAGATAAACCAGCGTCCTAGCGTCACTCAAAATGATATCAGTCATTTTGAGTGCTAAATCCACGCACAGGAGCGTCACTCCATTTTAACCTCGTCTAGAGGTTTTTCATCTGATATTTATCTACGTAGATAATGGGTAATTTGAATTAAGTGAAAATCCAAATATTGAAGAATATTTGAAAATTAGTCCGCTGGCGTTGAGTACAAAGATTTTATTTAGTATAACAGTGCTCTAAAGTGAAGTATTAAACTTTACTGGATATCAGCAGTAAGATTTAGTTACCCAGTATAATTGAGGTACGATTAATTACTGTTATAGGAAAAGCATGTCTTTACCTGGTATTTTTTTATTTTATCATTCCCAGTTTTTCGATTCATTCTGGTTAGTCGTGAATTTCAAAACTTTGCGCATTTGCGCTACCCTAATGGCTACAGCCAAAATATATTACCAAATGTAACGAGTTATTGCCTACGCCCCAAATTATTGCCGATGAATCAACATCTTTGTATGGGATTTCGCACGTTAGCATTTCCCAAATAACCACGCCATAGGACTAAAACGGAAATCGCATAATTGTCAAACGAAAAATACACATTTTCCCAACGAATGCAACTTACCCAAATGTCAACTTTCTCACTACACGGTTCGTTTCGGATCACTTCAGGGGCCATCCAAGACACTGAAAGAATTCATGAAATATCTCAGAAATTTTGTAAAATGTCGAACAGATATCTATCAGTAATTTCGAAAATGTTTTATTTTAATTGCCGTTAAATGCTTTCAATTACCTGTACCCGCAAACGACATTTTTGTACTCTTTTCAAATTCTCGACTCGTACCAAAATCACTAATTTTGATCACTTCGTTAGCTCCGACCAAGATGCTATTGTAATTGTTTTTAAAAAAAATTGAAAATATGTGTAAATGAAAAAAAAATTATTTTACCTACTTTGGACTTTTCAGATCTCTGTGTATAATCTTATGAGAATGGAGGTATTGCATTCCGTGTGCAATTTGCTTCGCCCATGAAACAATTCGTACTGGCTGAACCACTTTCTCATCTTTAAGGATATTTTGCAGCGGACCATATGGACAGAATTCCATAATAATGCAAAATACCGGTGATTTTGTGCACACACCTTTAAACTTAATTATGTTCTCGTGGTCCAATCGTCGCAAGTGTTTGATATCTGTTTCCTTGTAATCTCTAACTTTTTTCACAGCTACAATCTCGTTGCGCAAGTATCCACTGAAAACCGTACCTTGAGCGCCACTGCCAAGCCATTCCAGATTGGTTATACTTTCGAATGGAATTTCCCATTCTTCAGTTTTTTGTTTTAAGTCATTGTTATTTGATTTAACAAGGAGAGACACTACAGTCTTGGGAAAACACCCTAACAGTCCATCCATCCAGCCAATGGGCTTGTTTATTCCAAGTGGAGGCATGTTTGGCCTGCAACCAATATTTGGCGGTGAAATTGAGTTTTCGTTAGGGGGCATATTTATCGTCGTTTGTGGTTGGCCATATTGCTGGTTCTCAACATCAATTGACTTAAATTTTAAGTCTTCATCCATGCTGCAATAAAATAATAAAATACTTCATTTAAATCGAATAAACAAATGTTAAATGTCGTTCAGATTTGGTTCAAATTTAGTGTTCATGAATCTTTGAAATCAAATAGTTGCATCATTTTTATAAGTTAGTTCAATAATTATTGAATATTTGCATATTTTGTTGCTAAGTTATATGTACCCAGTTTGCTTTTTGTTTTACCTTGGTTTGCTGTTTTTTGCATACTTATTTGAAGCGTCATTCTGTGACCAAAACGAGCTATAAAACACCATTTTCACTTTACGTTTGATGCTCTTTTCTCAATTTCCTACATATTATTATTGCATATTATTATTGGAAGCTCAACAGCACAATCAACAAAACGAAACTCTTATTCAAGTGTACTATTCATCCGAATTATTAATTCATTTAATTTTGCAATGATAAAATGACACTAAATTCCTTTTCAGTTCCTTATTGGAACATACATCGTATTTTTGTTTTCATTTGCAGTGTTTCACTTTCACGGAACGAAACAAAGGGATATATCTAGCATATATTTAAACAAGAACATGAACATAATGCACGAAAAATTTCATTTTATTTTGACAAGTTAGACATTCAATCATACCAACAAGTGACAGTCGTAAAATTTAACATTGGGGGAAAAGCGACATCTCTGTATTCAGTTTTTTGTTTGGTACTTCTTTCTGTGTGAAGCGTTCTGTTTAGAAAATGATGAAAACTTATATTTTTTTCATTCAACGAATGATACAATAGTTTGGGTTTACGAACCCGTCGTATTTTCGCCGTGTTCAATTAGAGTGATAGAACTTCGAATGAGGATATCTCAAAGATACTGTGGCCTGTACAATATTATAAAATTATGAGATATTACTTCCTTAGGTCTTATTCTCTTGAGATATGATTGAATGTCACACATTCTAATTTCTATTTTAACGATTTTCATTTACAGAATTTAACGCGTTTTTCAGTTAAATTTCGTTTATTTATACGTAATTATACTTTGGAGTAGTTTGTCAGCCCAAGTTAACTTCGCATGGTGAATATCTCGGAATGTAGCAATTATGTAGTTGTAGCACATCTTCAAATATATGACCAGATAAGATCCCCTAATATTTATTCTGTAAATTTGGAATTATCTTTAAATCCATGCTAAGGAATTTATCAATTTCTTTTTCAAATATTTTTTTAATACAAAAAAGTATTCAGTATGAATTGGAATGAATTCAGTAAATCAACACATTTCTCTTGTGCATAAGTGTATGTATGCGGGTTGCCTGTCCAAATATGCTTGTTTTTATAAGAGAAAAATTGAAAGAAGACTGTGATGACTCATTTTATGCTCGGAAGAATTTCCAGGAAGATTTGTTTTTGTATTCAACGCTATAGCTGATTTTATCAATATTATGATTTTTAAAATTCGATTGTTGTGCTAGTGCGAAATCTAAAATTTCCAATCTCCTTCCGAATTTTTGGCTATTCAGATAATAAAATATCCTACTTATAAATGTGAAAATTCTCAATTTAGAAAAATATGCTTGCATGCAAGATGTACTTACATATTTTTTTTTTTACTTTATTAGGACTCCACGTTTTTTGAATGATTTTCTGTTGCCAAGTGGCTTCTTAACATTTTAATTTTTTTTCTTTATAATATTTTGTTGAAAAATCGATTACAAGATCAATTTATAATGTCACTGGTTGCATGAGCAGAGAAATATATTTTTTGTGAATAAAATTCTCAATGAACTTTTGAAGATCAAAAAAACTGGAAGAGCGATAACTTTTATCGATTTTTCCTCGCCATTTATCCCATATATTTCGTATGTATATTATATGTTTATTATATATAAATACAATAAATTTGATAATATTATTGTTTCCAAAAATTGGTAAGAATCACAAATACAAAAAATATTACACTTGTTCACCACAAGATTGGCAAGGTGATGCTTCTACTTGCTTCAATTTTTGTTGGTTTTTGTTATTTTTGTGCTAATGTGAGAGGCATACAGAGTTTATAGTGTTCCGCAATGGTTAAACACATACGTTGTATGTATTTGTGTTAACAATCAAGATGGCGTTCACGCTACCAATGCTAGCCTTTTTTCCATCAAATATCCAATAATACAAAAAGGTTAAACTAATTGAAGTTTTCTGAAGAAAAAAAATGCTGGAGCTTTCCTGCGGTAAATGTTCAAGAGATGGCGTTATTTAGATTCGAATAAGACTTTTGAACAGATTAATCAATAAAAATGTTCTGGTTCAATTATACGGAATATGTGGACTCATTAGTATGGACCTAAGTCTAAAAAAAATAAAAGAATAACATGTTACAATCTGAATGGAAATGAATCGAACTACAAATGAGTCGCTTGTAAAAATATATTCTTAGCAATGGCACAGTTAAATGTCGAGGGGTTTGTTCAAATCTCTTCCGACAAAAAAATCTGAATTATACTGGTACACTTTCAGCAAAATATCTTGTCCGAATAATGACTAAATGTTCAAGCCATGTACAGACATTAGTGCACAAAAGACTTTTCGTGTACAACTAGTCTGGTTCCCCGCTGGAGATCAAAAATACTATCCCAAAAATTGTATCGAATTTTTTTCTCGATATTTGGCCTCAAAGAAACCGTCCAGACCCCTTGATTCTTTCACATTTACCTCGGTAGAAGAATACACACACACACAATTTATAATACATTTTTACACGACAACACACGTGCAATCACACGGCAAAATTTACAGCAATATACAAACACGGCCTGCGAATCAAATTCATGAACCACACAATTTCGATCCCGTCGAAATGAAGAGAAGAAAAGAAAAGAAAAAGAGATTGCTTGAGGTGTCTCGCACATACTAGTAGGGAAAACATTTTAGAGTTGATTGTGGCACCATGTATACTGCGTTCGAAGTTTTACTGTTGCGATTATAGTTTTGAAATCCGTTTTATTTTTTTTTACAAATAACTGTACTTACATCTGCAAATAATTCCCAATCGGTTTATCATTTTATCTTTCACAAAATGTGCGAAGTTAATTGTAAAAATGTAGTCTTTTAAAATTTCAAAATAGTCGACGATATATTGCTACAGTTTGCTCTTTTTAGTTGGTGAAATTAAATATGTACGTTGCAAATATAACATTTTCCTTAAAATGTGGAATAAATAAAATAGTGATTCCGTGTTCATATAACCTCTTTATAGTAAAAACAGTGATCTATAAAATTGATCGAAAAAAAAATAACCGATCTTAAATTACAATAGCCAAGTGCAGATTAACTTAGCAGGTGATAGGTGACAAAATTGTGTTTATTCATCTAGTTTCAATCGAGAATATATATTGGAAAGAAAATGAACCAGTGTTATATTTCCACCGTTTTTAGATTTTGGTGTTTTCTTGCATTTCTCTAAGTCAAGTCAAAAAATGTGTTAGATGCGGAAATACTCGTTATGAAATTGTGTATCATTTATATGGGAGCCTAAGAAAAAGATACCGAGTTTTCTCATACTACACATTGTAGAACAATGAGAAGTACATGTCGGGAAATCGAAAAGTGCAATGATTGAAAACACAAAACTAAAGAGAACCAACTAGAAATTTAACCGATTAAATTGTACCAATTGTAGCTATTCAAAGGAGTACATATATATTCATTAAAATCTGAGCAGGCTTTAAAACAGAATTAAACTAAAAGAGTTAACGCTAATAAATAAATATATATCGGATATTAGGTATTTATAAATTAAAGATTAAAAGTGCCAGATATAGTTTCAATCTATGTAAACATTTACATTGAGATTTATCTTAGTCTTCTTTACTCTGTATGGGTATACTGTTGTTCATATTTGTGAAAGTCGTTTCGAAATGCAGCAAGCACTCAAGCGCGCTCGCTCCACATACATGTTCTTGACAACACATACAACTCAACTATGTTATGGAATATTAACTATTTTGTATATAAAAAAGATCATGCTTTACGTCGTCGTCCACAATAATTTGGTGATGTTCGAAGTATTCATTATTTTTTAATAGGAAAGCCTGCATCTATGACCACCAACTAATTATTTATATGGAAGAAACAAAAGCTCTATAAATCAAAATAAAAGTATTTTTAATACTTGTTCCATATGAAAGAGAAAAAATGCGAGAAATACAAAGTAGTTGAACGAGATACGATGTTAATAGTAAGTGTGTCTGTGAGTGTTGCTTTGTGATCAATTGCCGTGACACGGCTATATAGGCCACATAGCATTGCTTATTTGCACACGAATACATGTTTGTTGGACTGATTTTTCGCTTTGTATTGCTCTTTTCTTGATATGATTTTCTTAATTTCAAAAAGTTTTTCAGAGCAGAGAATGCGATCATAGTGATGTGTATCCATCGGTGGTTATGATCAAGTCGGCATATGCGTGAATGCTTTGGCTATATCTTCACCATATTTAAATGTCAAAATACAATAGAACCTACTATCAACTTATGGTTTTTCATCTTTCTATGGCACAGATCCAAAAATCATGTGTTTGATCAAAGTGAGCTTATTTTTAAAATACATTTCCTAGTCATTCCAAATGAAAAATGATCTTTCAGTAGAACGATTACTGTATAATATAAAACGAATAACATATATTCTTATAGTTTCCTCTAACCAAATTAATAATATTGTATAGTAGTAGCCTTTGTATAAAATATCATTGCAATTATAGTAACCTTTTATAAAAAATATTAGTCTCAATCGTTCTATTCAACTGTTACTATCTGGGTAATATGGGCGACAAGGGCATTGGAAATCCTCACGGAAATTTAATTACCTGCATCAAGAAGTAAATAGAATATTCGGGACTCTTTTCAAATATTCAAAAATCAAATTCTAGTTATTTTAAATTTATAAAAAAAAATCTGATAATTTTCGAGTTCCATTGCAAAAAGTTAAAAAAAAATCATCAGATATGCATTGGACAAATTCAATCAAAAAGACGTTTGCTAAACTTCCAAATAAAAAAGTCGTTTAGAAACCCAACTCAAAATGATTCAATCATCGGAAATGCACACCTGAAATCGCTCAACGATTTCATTCAAAAAGTCGTTTGTCATGCAACTTGAAACGCAATTCAACAGAGATACCATCATTTCGATCGATCAATTAATTAATCAAGAGTCCTTTGATTCCCAAGAAAATTTTGAGATGATTCTCAATCAAATTCAACAAACTGCAGCTAATTTCCCAATCAAACACTACAGTCAAAATTCATGTGAAGAGGAAGAGAAAAGATGAAGAAACCAATTCATAATTTTAAAAATCATATGTTAAACATTATAAAAAACAAAGGAAGGTATTGCAGTAGCCTTAGTATAAAACATCATTGTAATTATAGTAACCTTTTATCATAAAAATTTGTCTCAATCTAATTATTCAACTGTTCACATCTCAATATAAATAAGACCGCAAAGCATCGCTCCACTCCGCTTTCTTTAGAGTTGTTTGATATTATTCTACTTTGTGCTTCACGACAATCTACCTAGCTACATACTAAAAAAAGAATATAAAAAACGACACAGTAAGATCAATCAACATAGGATTTATGCGAAAAATCGTCTAAAGACGTTAAAATATCGTGTAATTTTTAATATTTCAAAGTTGACGCATATATTTGACAGATTCGTAAATCGGGTAATAGTATTGACCAATTCATTGATTTATTTAAACTTACACGATATTTGATCGTTTTACACGATTTGTCGTATACTACATGGGCTGAAAAGTCTTTGGCCTAAAAATGAAAAAAAAAAACGATTTTTTTTAACGAAAAAACTGTTTTATTCTCCGACATAATCTCCATCTCGAGTAATGCACTCAGTATAACGGTCCTCCAATATTTCGATGCCTTTCTTATAGTGGCTGGCGTCAAGTGCCTCAAAATAGGCATTTGTTTCCAACTCGACCTCCTCATTTGAGTAAAATCTCTTACCAGCGAGCCACATCAGAGAATCATTTCAGCATAGATATTCAATTTTCTGATGAGATCTCAGCAACTGAATGCAGTGACTGCGAACGTCGCTGTGAGTAAACGGGCGTCCTACATTCAAAGTTAGCAAAGAAACATCAGTTTGCCTTGACCGAAACCCTAAAAAATGGCTTTCTGAGTGATTTTTCATAGAAAAGTGTAATTTTCGGGGAAAATTTCAAGCAATGTCGATTTTGGAGCAAATTTTTGGGCAAGTAGGTGTTCGGTTGTACGAAGACTCCCATTATTTTTGCAAAAAAATATAAGTTTGCACCGACCAAAACCCTGCAAAATGCTTTTTTCGGGTACTTCCTATACAAAAGTGTCTTTTTTCAACGTTTTTCAGATCCTCAGTCGGAGGCTTAGGGTACGAAATCGGTAAGTCAGAATGGGCTCAAAATCAATCCAAAGTATGAATATGTTAAAAAAAGTCAATAATGTGGTACTTCAGCTTTTATCTAGGGGAATATCACGCAAAAAATTCTATTGAATTTCTATTGATTTTTGCATTTTCTAAAAATTAATTTCAATTATATTACATTATGCGAGATATCTGAGATTTTTTTCATTTTGGTCGATTTTTGCAGATATTTTAATGCTGGAAGTGGGTTTTGGCGGATCCTCAGGATCGTTCAGAACTGCTCACTGGAAGTGAGTTTTGGTGGATCTTCAGGATGGACCAGACTTGGTTTGACAATGCCCTGGCCCATCCTGAGGATCCACTTCCAGAACCGGGAGCAGTACTAAACGATCCTGAGGATCCACCAAAACCCACTTCCAGAATTTTTGAAGCGGTAATGACGTCAGCACATGGTGAATATGTGTGAATAATACAGATTTTGCGAAATATTTGAAATAGCTTAGATTTCATTAGATTTTAATGAAATAAATGAGATAAAAATAAGTTTTGCGAATAAAAATTGCGTGATATTCCCCTAGGCTTTTATCTTTTAGGACAGTTGGTTATCAGGATTGACATGTTCAGCAAAGTTTTAGCTCTTGATGAGTAGAATAAATTTAACAAAGACACAAATGCAAAATAATCTACCATTTCGGAATTTCAACCTCATTTTGATAGCAACAGTCACACTTCTATGGCTGTATCTCTTAAACTATTTAAAAATTTGGTCGATTACACAGTACGACACATTTTTTTTTCTCGTGTCCCTGGAGAGCCCTTCACAGGTCTGAAAGAAGGCCTCAAATAATGAAGAACTGCATCATTACTTTTTGAAAGTTAGCTCGTTTAAGCGATTTATTAAATTCGGCGTTTTCAGTGTTCAGCTTATTGTCAAAGTTAATTTGCATGCCATTTACTCCCATTTTTGATGGTTTTACGCATATGATCACTTTTACAAAAATGTTCAGCGGACAATTTTACATGGAAATAAGCTTTCCAGATCCGAAATTTATCACTGATAGTGTCAAATATGGTCAGAAAAGTCCAAAATGATCGAAAATGTATGAAAATCACGAAAAATCGACTTTTCTTGAAAATTTCCTCAAATATACAGTTTTCAGGGTTGGTGTCTTGATGAAAAATTATTTTTTCTCCAGAATAAGGAGAGTCTTATCATCCAAAAATGCTCAAAAGTGACTTTTAGAGGTACCTCTCGAACAAAACATGATAATTTCATAGCAAAATCCATGAAAAATGTCACTTCTGTTTTCGGTGTTTTTCAGTATCAAAATAAAGGGTGTTTCAACAAGAACGCACAAGAGTATTGATAAATTAAACAAACAAATTTAATTTTTTTCCCCGAAATCTTTATTGTATATTGTAGTTTGGTCCTTGCCATTTGTGTTTTAAACTGAGTATGGTGAAAAAGTCTGTGTGGCACATTTTTAAGGTTATGTGTTTTTTACGCCAAATTTGACCCTATTTTTGCAAAAACAATGGTCGGCAGCGTGCAAAGCAAATATGCCGCTCGAGGCAACGATAGAAGATGGCGCCCCAAAATCAAAATACCGCCCAGAATCAAAATGCCGCCAAAAAAAATCGATCAATATTAGGAATTTTGCAAAATGCCGCCCGAAGCAATTGCTTCGCCAGCGTCATGCTTTGCACGCTACCGAGTGTGTTGAATAAAACTGATTTCTGAATTGTTCGTGGACTGTTGATGTTATTTTTTTAGTAGAATTTGTCTAAGGGCTAGGAACAGTAGCACTGGTTTACAGATATCAGTATAAAATACGATTCTCCGTGTATATTATTATTGTATGGTGAGAATTATACACTTTGCTTAAGTTAGCACAGATTCTCACGATTTCTTGTGAATATTTTTAATTTTGCACGCACACGACGTGTATGCGCTAGCGGTTGTGCTAAGTGATTCATGCAGACACACACAGCTATGGGCACATATGGGACTTTTATGTCGCAACTTATATTACATCATAAAGTACATAAATGTCAAATGGTGACATATATTTATTGCAATCATCCCTTGGCATTTATTTATATGCAATATTCAAAATTTATGCGCTAGTTCTCAACCTGCGATTTCTCCTATTTTTTTCTTTAACCTTCAAACCGTGAAATCTATTTTCTAACGTTGTTCGTGAAACCGATGCCTGAGTGCCCATCTGCCCATAATAAATTTTAAATGGGAAATGTCAGTTTTTTTTTAATTTTCATTTTTAAATGTAAATATTTCAGTATTTATTGATCGGAAAAGTATGAAAATTACTTTGAAATGTGATAGATGTCATAAGAAATCGAAATATGAAAGACAACAGCAAGTTTTTTTGGAATTTTTTCAATAAAGCGGAGATTGCAATGTTGATTTCTTCACAAAAATTAAGGCAAAAACATATACATACAAATACCACTATGGTCGATTTTGACGTCAAAAATTGAGATTTTGAACGGCAGGTTGGATCAAAAAGTTATGTATATCACTAGAAAGGTCTTGAAAAGTAGATGCCTATTTTGGTATAAAACTTCAAAATAGGCCGGCATTTGGCCAATATTTGCCCGTTGGATTTTTTTTGGCCAAAATTGATAAAATGGCCATATGTTAATAAAATGATGATCAGTCAATGACAGATAGCTGAGGATATATGCTGAGCAAAGAAACTCAGTAAGCTGAGATTGGGACATTTTGACTTTATGACGTGTAGTCCATACAAATTTATGATGGCACGCATACAATTTCGTGCATTTCATCATGCATTTATATGGACTACACGTCATAAGGTCAAAATGTCCCAATCTCAGCTTACTGAGTTTCTATGCTCAGCATATATCCTCAGCTATCTGTCATTGACTGATGATGATCGATTTTGATGTTTTATGTACTTTTCAAGATCTTTCCAATGATGTATATTTCAATTTAATATGTTCCCACATTAATTTTTATACGCAATTTGTCGGATGTACAATGTACATTGTACAGAAGCGAAACTAGTGAAAATATTCATGAACTAACATGTAATCACAAAGTTTCTATCTTAATTGCATTGAAAAACACAACAACAACGCCTAAAAGTAGTCAAAATTGCAAGTTTCAATCATTTAAACATGA